CAGACAGTTCATAAACAGACTTTGTGCATACAATACTTAGAATCGTTTATCCAGTTGGTATTTTATCCATACAGACACTTAAAAGAAAGAAGGGTAAAATGGTCATTTACTTCTAACAGAAGAAGGGTATAATAGCCAGTTACTCACACAGTTCATAAACAGACTTTGTGTCACTTACATTTCATTTAAACTTATGGAAATAAAGTTAACAACTGCTAAATGGTTTGTAGATTACCTTCCGAGTAGTGTTTCAGAATTTATCGCACCAAATGAGAACTGAAAACACAGAAATTTCAGGTTTTAGTAACACAGAGTTTTTCAAGAAAAAGTAGGATCATAATGCAATTTATTCTTACCCTGGACCCATAAACCTCAGCAGTATCGAACCAAGTTATACCACTATCTATACTTGCATCAAATGCGTTCTTACAAGCTTTCATCTTCCTATCTGCAATCATCCGAAAGAGAAACCAGGTCCCAATACCATTTCAGTCAGAAACCAATAGATAATAGAACATACAAGCTTAAAAAAGTTCACTGAGGACTTTTAACAAACACCTGGTGGACAAACTTTTCAACATGTAATCTCACTTACCATCCCATTCGAAATTGTTCCAATAACTGGTATCGCCCCATGACCAAGCTCCAATCCCAAGCTTTGTGAGCTTCAAATCAGAACCACCCAGCTTCACGAACTTATCTTCCTCGGTTTGCACCTTCACAACGCCATCTGAAGCAACTGCCCTGATTCGTTCAACCTTTTTCTGGCTAAAAGCAAAGTTACAGGTACTAGTGAATTGCAACGCCATTCCCACACTTGATCTTTCAATTACTCCAGGTTTTGGTTATTATGCTTTCAGACAAGAAAACCCACTTACTAATCTAAGCAAAAACATTAATTTTTGGTGGTCGATGTATAAATTCTCCACGTCTATTAGTTTCCAAAGAGCTTCGGACCACATGAAACATGATGTACTTGTGTGCCAAAATTTAAGGTCCAAACATATGATTATGTCATCTATTTTTTGTTTAAGCAAATTTTAGGCACAGAGATATGATTCTGTCCCTTCTAAATTTAAATTGATGAACTTCAAAAAAATATTGTTTAAGCAAAAGAAAAAGATTAACGGTCTATCATAGTTTTTTTTTGTAGTCTAATAAAAAAACTTATTATTTGCATATTTATATCATATTAATTTATAATATGTGAGAACTACAGTTACAAAATTAATTAAATTTTCATAGTAAAAACTCGAAATTATTAATCAATTATTTTAAATAAATTATTAATTAAGAAATATTTTTTTAGTTATATAAAATTATAATTGTTATTTTAAATAAATACGTGAAATTATATCACCTTATAATCTGTATTAATTTTATTTTAATTTTTATTCTAGTGTTATTAATTTAATGTAATTAGAGTGTCAAATTTAAAATTTGAAATTTAAAATGAAAAATCAATAGATTGATAAGTGACGTAACATTAATTAGAAGACCTAATAAGGTGACACATGTCAAAAAGAGATTAAAGTTATTCTTTTATTAGAATAGAAAAATGTATAACTTTAATCAAAGTATTTTAACTGCATATATATATATATATATATATATATATATATATATATATAGTATATCATAGATATGAGATTTATACCTGCAGTTGCTTTACGTTTAGTAAAATCAGAATTGTAAATTGGATTGGAATCAAAATACTTACCGCCGAATGAACTGTTTCCAAATTGTAAATTGGATTGGAATCAATGATAGTGCAATACTTATTGTTACTTGATGTTGATAAAAACAGTGAAATCAATCTTTAAGTTCTTAAACAATAATCAAAATTCTTATAGATGCAAACCACATCAATTAAGGAAAAACATGTTGAGTAGAAAAAAAAAACAAGATTATGACCATATACAACTAAAGACATAAGATCACAAAAAGACTAATATATACCTACCGCGTTGCTATGTATAATTTGAGATAAATAGATCAAGTTGCGATGTTTTATGAGACTTACTGCGTTCTAGAATGCTAAATTTTAAGTAGAATGAACATATTTTTGAGACTTGATCTAACTTTCAACTTTCAAGCTGATGGACAACTTTTGTAGGTTCTGCATGATATTTTTTTTTTAACATCTTAAGCAGAATGTTCCTATGTATCATACACCACATATCAATTCTTCAACTAATAGTATCCTTGAGATAATCCGTAATAACTATCTTTCTCGCATAATGCATTTTCAGTCCAAACATCAAAAGATTACTTTACAATTTGCATCATAATCTTTCACATCCTTGAAAGCAAGAGTTCAAGTGTATATTTATATTAGAGTTTGTGAAGCAATAGTGGGTCGAAGGCCACTGTTATAATGAACATCGTCATATGTCGCGATAAACGAAACTGAAAAGATTTTTAATTGGATGTTGATATCTATGTCAAATAGTAGGCAACACTTATATATACAATGTAGATTTGAAAACAAGGATCTAATTCACTGTAGAATTGCATTACCTTGTAGGCTTGTAATAAATTATTAATTGGACTATGCTACTGCTGTTGTTTCATTGGGCTGATCCAGGGCTAAGTTAAGTTCGGACCACGTTACAAATCAGGTTGGTGTTCAATTTTATTTAGTGAATAAAATAATTTAACATTAAATTTCAGAAATACCAGTGGATCTGAATATACAAACTTTTAGTTTTGACACTACATAAGTTCTTAACTTTTTAAAATTTATAATGTTTTACTTTTGGATAACTGTTTTTATGATCGACTTTTTAAAACTCAAATCAGTCACTAAACCTTTTCTTGTTCATGTACTTGCTGCATTCCATTTTTT